TATTTTAAAGTTTAATGAATGATATTTGATTTACAAATTACATAATTTGTTGGATAAAAACATACGTTTTCGAATTACCTATCTTCGGCCATTTATAGGCAATTACGTATCGCAAACCCTGTAACTTAGGTAAAATACCGCTTAGTGCAATAACAAACTACGTATAGGTATAGGTAATGGGCAATTTACGCTAATCTTAATCTCCCTATTATGAATAACTTGACACTCCTCCCGATTTTTAAAACGAAAATATCCTGATTTTTATTTTTTAACTTGACAGGTATGATATAGGGGAGAGTGGGGTAAGACGGAACGCGGGGTGAGATGGAACGACGGATTTTTGTTGAATAATTGTTTAAAATGGGTTTTTGAAGTAAACTTTTTTTGAAAATATATCAAGTGATCTTTCTGTTCAACCACAATTTTCTTGTCGGCTGCAACTAATTCTTTCATAAAAAGCCATCGTTCCGTCTTACCCCGCGTTCCGTCTTACCCCGCTCTCCCCTAATATACACTCCATTTATGCAACCACGTCTAAGCTTCATAAATACAATGTATGTATAACTGTTACAACTAGCCTAATGTGGGTAGTGTGGGTGTTTGTAATTTATTTTATTAGGCTAAGTCACTTATGCTACATTCACACCAACGGCGCTTTGATGGCGCTTTAAAGCGGCTTACAAAGCGGCACCAAAGCGTCACAAAGCTTGATTAAAGCGTCGGGGTCGTAATAGATCGTAGAAAATCTCGAAGTAAAGCGGGATATTTGGCAAGAGCGCCAAACATTTTTAAAGCTACGTTCACACCAACGGCGAATGCCACGCTTTAAATCGGCGAGCAAAGCGCCATCATTTTTGTTTACTTTTCCAAAAATATCACGATCTCGTAAGTAATGTTACGCTCTGATAAGCTCTGATACGCTCTGATTTCCCGACTTGCTACGGTTCCCAACGCTATGATCCCGCTTCGACCAGGCTTTGTTACGCTTGGAATCACGCTTTGATAAACTTTGATAAGCATTATTACGCATTGATGCGATTATGACGCTTTAAATCAGGCTCTGATACGATTGCCAAGCTCTGTTGTGCATTGTCGAGATCGCCTTTATCATGACGCTTTTGATCAAATGGCTGTTAAAGATGCAGTAGATCCATAAAACCATTGCATCTTTGACTCGAGAAGACGATGGCAGAACAACAAGATCCAGGAATTCCAGATAGACCAGATCATGACCTATTTGAAGAAGACATGATGTTTGTCGCACGGCGTGAAAGAGCGTGGGGAAGCTTGTCAAGCGTAACAAAGCCTAACAATGCGTTTCAATCCTTGATTAAAGCGTCTCAATTCGTTAAAAAGCTTGAGAGTCCTTCATGAAAGCGTAACAAAGAGTGTCAGATATTGAGGAAAGCGTCTGACCTCGTGTCAGATCTTAATGCCAGATCGTAGCAAAGCTTGAGACATCTTAACGAAGCGTGTCAAGTGGTAACGCACCGTGAAGAGACTGGGATCCCTGCTTTGAACCAAGCTCTGTTAAGCTTTCCTACGCTTTGGGTCAAGCTTTGCTGAGCTTTGTTACGGTTTGTTAAGCTTTGATACGCTCTCGGCGCTTTAATGAATTCGTAACAGAGCGCCCAAAATTTTTAAACAGTTTAAAAAATTTTGCACTCTTGCCGAACATCCCGCTTTACTCCGAGCTTTTCTACGACCTATTACGACCCCGACGCTTTATTCAAGCTTTGTTACGCTTTGGTGCCGCTTTACAAGCTCCTTTAAAGCGCCACGCTTTGGTGCCGCTTGGCTCGCAGATTTAAAGCGTGGCATTCGGCGTTGGTGTGAACATAGCTTTAGAGGAATCCTTGGCACACATTAAATGCACGTGAAGATACAGCGACACAACATCGAATATAATATAAACACACATATATTGTTGCTTATCCAGCTCAAAAATGTATACAGAATAAATCGATGTAAATTAAGTTTCAGAGGGGCTACTTTTAAAGTCCTTTCCTAATGTAGGAATATTGAAGTTCATATGAGACAGTTTCTATCCTTATCGCTATTAGTTGTCAAAAATATTCTATCTTTCTGGACATCAGTTGTCGAAAATATTCTATCCTCTAGACATCAGTTGTTTATGGGTGGTTAGTTGACCGTGTATAATTCTGTTATTTCCCGCGCTTATATTGCTTGCTAATCTGTTTGGTTTTAAGTGTCAGTTTCATGTGAGCTACTCACACATGTGATAGGTCCGATAACTCCCTACAAACATCCAATCAGCAACTTTAATCCCTGCCACATTGCTTTCCCGCGCTTACTTTGCATGATAATCTGTTTGTTTTTCAAGCGTCAGTTTCATGTGAGCTACTCACACATGTAATAGGTCCGATAACTCCTTACAAACATCCAATCAGCAACTTTAATCCCTGCCACATTGCTTTCCCGCGCTTACTTTGCATGTTAATCTGTTTGTTCTTTAAGCGTCAGTTTCATGTGAGCTACCTTTACATGTCATAAGTCCGATAACTCCTTACAAACATCCAATCAGCAACTTTAATCCCTGCCACATTGCTTTCCCGCGCTTACTTTGCATGTTAATCTGTTTGTTTTTCAAGCGTCAGTTTCATGTGAGCTACTCACACATGTGATAGGTCCGATAACTCCTTACAAACATCCAATCAGCAACTTACTTTAATCCCTGCCACATTGCTTTCCCGCGCTTACTTTGCATGTTAATCTGTTTGTTTTTCAAGTGTCAGCCATGTGTAATCAACTCATAGGCCAGATAATTCCTTACAAACATGTTAACATCGAATTGTTATTATTGTTGTCTATCAACGTCGCCAAAATGTCAAAGGTCAAAGCCTCGCTTTGGTAGTGAGAAAATTAAAATAAAAATAAACACTAATCAGCTGCAATACTCGTTGTTATGGTGCGTTCGTGGAGATTCCAAGGGTAAACCAGTGTTGTACTTAATTTAGAGAGGTAGTCAGGGAGTGTATGAATATAGGCCTAATAGAGTAAAGCTTGACGAACGTAAAAAACAAATGCCGATATATCATTTTTCCCATTCTTTTCAACTTTCAAAATCGAAGATGAAGATTTCGTTTGAAATTATCAGTTCAAATTTCCCGCCGGTTAACCGACTTTAACCGGTAAAAACACCCGGTTAACCGGTTAATGCTCAAGCAGTTAATTGACACCACTAGTTGTTGGAAATATTTCATCTTTCTGGAAAATATTTAACATCATTTTCATCGTTTTCGTAATTGCTGCACTTTTTAGCCCATCCGTTTACGTAACTTTAGTGAGGAAGTATATTAATAATTTTGCAGTCTTACAAGGAAATGCGTTCGCAAAAGCTCGGATTTTCTGAAACATAAAACTCTGACACACGAGTGTATAAAAAGAGTATAAGTGATTCTGCATATATCTAGTGTAATCGTGGAAAAACAAAAACGTATCGAAATCGTTGCGCCATTTTGTTACGAAAACGGATCCGTTTACGTAACTCGCTTCACGAGTTCCTCCACAGTGGTCAGGCAAGCTTGTATCTACGAAACTTTATAAGAGATATAAAATATTTATATAAAAAAACTCCTTTTAAAAATAAAAATTCCGAATTCATTCTGTAAAATCTGAAAACAATTGGACTTCGATAACAAGTTTTCCGATTTCAAAATCAAAGTATTATTTTCAACGAAGATGGGGAATATTTTGCAAAAATTAAATCAATTTTACAAAACTAGTTGAGGTGTGAGGTTCCATATCCATCCGCCAAAAGGTATGACCCCTATATTGTCCATTTAAAAACCTGTGATTTTGTTCTAAATAACGCCATAGTTGGCTTCTAGGGTACCTAGTATGCCATTATTTGGTATCAAAATAAAGAGGAGGGGTTCAACTTTCATTTTAATTACGAAAATAGCGATGAAGGTCAAAATAGTTCCAGCGTGGGCATGTTTACTACGCGTGTGCCCGTCATCTCAGAATTGAGCAAATGGTAGTTAACGCGAGTTACAATAAATGGACGCTGATATCCCAAAAAGTAACCTGACTTCCTATAATTTGATGTAGATCAATCGAACCCCTATATGAACAGGTTCATTTTGATATATAACACTATGGGGGAGAAGGGGGGGTAAGTGTTTCATAGTTTGTAACGAACGCCATATGTGCATAGTAGTGTTCAGTAGTGTTCAGAATTTTCGAATTTCGTGTTGGATTACGGTACTCACGCCTTGATGTAAGGTCTTAAATTGTCTGCTACTTGGCCAGAGACCAATATTCTAGTAGAATTTGAAAACAGGGTCGATTTTGTCGTTCAGCTTAGGCCACACAATGATTTAAATTCACTTTCAAACCTTATGTGCACATCAGAATGGTCATAAGGGGGCCGTGGAGGGTCATAAATGATAGAAACCCCGCTTAAATTCCGTCAAAATTCAGGCCATTTCTTCATTGTCTGCTAAAATTACATGATTTGAGTGTCCGCATCTCCCTGAAATTGCTACAATGTAGCGATTTTTTATTTTTACAGACTAGATAAAATGTCAGGTCAACATAAACAGTAAGCATGTGTGATTTTTAAATTGCGTCACGGTCGCAAAGTTAGATAAGCATATTTAGACATATTTGGGGTATTAACCCTTTCTAGCCTAAATGGAGTGACGTCATAAAACATTAAGGTGTGAGGTTCCATATCCATCCGCCAAAAGGTTTGACCCCTATATAGTCCATTTGAATACCTGTGATTTTATTCTAAATAACGCCATAGTTGACTTCAAGGGTACCTAGTATGCCATTATCTGGTATCAAAATAAAGAGGAGGGGTTCAACTTTCATTTTAATTACGAAAATAGCGATGAAGGTCAAATTAGTTCCAGCGTGAGCATGTTTACTACGCGTTATTTTCAGGAACTCATAACTCATTCTATTCATTGTCTATAATTTTTAATTTTGTACAAGGAGTGCACAAATATATAAAGATTATCAGCTAGATTATGATATTTTATGAATTTGTTTCATTAGTCAGTTTACCAACACTACGTTGGGCGTGGTATATTAAAGTGAGGGTTTTGGTAGGCAGTTCTGCAGATGAGTCAGTTGTCAGAGCAACGTTAAAAGACAGCAACACCGGGGACATATATGGCATACGTGAGGATACGACTTCAAGTAAGACAGTGTGCCTGGAGTTTAAAGAAAATAGTGATTATCTGCCATGGTCTACTAGCCTCGTTGAAATAGATGTCCAAAACAAAACATGCAGTGTCAGTAAAGTATCTCTGACTCTTGGAATGTACCAAATTACGTCAACCACACACGTGTTTGCCTTCATATCGACCATGCAACCTTCAAGCAAAGGAATCGCAAGTGGGATATACAGTTCCTTTGGAAGCAGTATAATAGTTGCAAGGAGAAGGGCGAAGGCAAAGTGTGAGTGTAGTCATGATATGCTCAGTTGTACAAAACCTAGACCATCGCTAGGAGTAGGAGTAACAATAACATGTCAGCCGACACCAGGTAAAACATTTATTCGAATAACACTGTGGCGCTAGTCGACTTATATGTGGATGTAGTCATATACATGTAATGTATCGTAAGTGCCCGCCTCTTTACTTTTCAATGGAAACATTTTTCACTTTTGTTTAAACGATCTATATTTACCCATCCGTGGATATCATACCTCATTGATTTACCAAACCAGAGCTAGCCTATAAACACACATTCGGTGATTTTCTTACGGCAATTAGATAACTCAAACGAGTTCCCATAACCAGTTTTATCATCTCGCTCACAGCTGTGAGAAGGTATGTATAATTTGCCATAGGTTTACCTTATAACGGAGAATAAAAAATTTAAAAAAGTAATATAATTATTTCACGTATCCAAATATGTCTGTGTGAAGTAAAATACATATACCACACGTTTTATAATATTTTGGGGTTATGGTATGAAATATCCGTTTTAAACGGATGAAATAACTATGGTTGCTTATTAAAACTTGAGTTAAAACAATAATACAACAGAAACTAACTTTTACAGTAGTTTATGGTGTGTATATGATGCCTGGTGATAAACCCATGTGTGATATCAGGAAAAATCTACATTATATGTTTACTAGATCTAAGAGGGATTTCACTTTAAAATGTCATAGTATATATCTTTAAGAGTAGATGGTGGACAAGTAAATGTTTACGAGATCTAATAGGGATTTCCCTTTAAAATGTCATAGTATATATCGTTAAGAGTAGATGATGGACAAGAAAGTAAAGTGGTGGTTTCTAGATCGGCCAAAATTCCGACAAGCTTATTCAATATTATTATTAAACAAGATTAGCATAAATGTAAATTTGTAATAAAGCAATTCTTAATAGATTTTTTTTATTATAACAAAGAATGTTTAAAGGTGCTACAAATAGTGCAGGGGGGCCATTCAACGATCATCGACAAGTGTCAAAATATATTTAGGTTTGGATATTTCATCAAGACTAACATATATTTTCATTATCTACAAAGAAACCCTCTGGATGAATATTATTTCAGCTGATATTCCTCTTGAAACATGGTGGATCTTAAAAATCTATATAAGTGGGACTCCCTTTATAGAAGCTTTGAATTGAATTTACACTTCTTAATGCTGAAATTGATAGTTTATACATACATTTTATGAAAATAGGTATGTCAAAGAAGGTATTAAGCCAAATATTGACCTGATAGCTCAGAAAAAATAAAAAATTTCGAATTTTCTCTCTACAGTCCTTATTGCCCCTTTAAATTAAGAAATATTATACCAATGGCCTTCTCCAATGTGCTACTGCAATACTTTTATCGAAGTCAGTGTTGACCAGGACCATTTTTTTAATTTTTTCCATAAGAATTAAAAGTAAAAATGAATGAAGTCTTACTTTCAAAACTTCCCACAAAACACAGAAAGCCAATGAACCCAAAATATTTAGTTTCCTTTCTCTATCTCACTTGAGTGGTACATGGAGCGGTGAAACAATCCACAGTGTTCAAAAACAATACCGATGCTATATTGGTACTTGATAAGATTCCACTTACCACAATTTCAAAAAATTATATAGTATTCTTGAAACATTTGAAAAATATTTAGTTTCCTTTCTGTATCTCACCTGTTGGGTACATGGAGCGGTTAGTCCATTTGTCACTCTTATGCATCCTATAGTGAACCTATGAATCAGTGTTAAAAACATGATGTTTTTTTATTGATTTATGACGATAAGGGTTTCCTGAAGAAATTTTGCTGGTTTGGACAAAAAGTTAGTTTGGGGAAAATGATATGGGCTAATTAGCAAGGTCATTATTGAAATGTTGAATGTTTTCTATATCTTGAAAAGTAAGAATGATAACAGCATAATTATTTTGTCTCGTGTTTTCAGGGTTAGCCATCAGGATCAGGGCGGCCATTATTGAAATATTGATCAGTTCCTTATATAATTTAAAAATTACTAATGATAGCATCATAATTGTGGTGCCCTTACCCATGTTTCCAGGGTCAATGAATAAGATGTAAAAAGATACAAGAATAACTCATTACAGTAATACTAATTTATAAATTATACGCAAATTAGCCAAAATGATTTCAGTGGCAATAAATAATATATGGTAATGTTAAAAGATATAATGATAACTTATTAGATATTGTGCATATATGCAACTAAGCGTGTTTTATTATTCACATTTTGCATTTATTCAAATTATTTTGTTAATCACACTTGCAGTAAAAGGGAGGGACTAAATGATGGTTTCCTTAATTGTATTGTATATTTATTGCCTCATTTATATGAGAGAATACATTTTAGTATAAATATGGTTTACATATAAATTATATAATATACAAGGATAAGATTAAATTATGTGATAAAAAAGTTGTTGTTTTTGGAAAACATAAAAATAAAGTGATAGAGAAATTATGTGTCAAGCAGAGCCAACAGGTTGGCTCTGTGATTGTACATTTTGTGTACAAATGATGATACAATTATTAACGACTCACATGAAACATCTGAAAGACCTAAAACTTAAATTCTTAGAAGTTTAATTGGGTTGCCAAAAAACTTTGGGTGAAAACTATAAATGCAAATTAGGGCTGCCATTAGTGAAATATCAAATTACTTACATATCTTAAAATGGAGACATGATAGCCCTGGGACCCATATTTTCAGCGTCAATGAATAAAATAATGTTAGAATATATAGAGATTATCCTATATGAAGTTCAGGATATTGGGATTATCCCGAGGCTAATGTGGTATATCTGCCCGAGGGCCGTAGGTCCCAAGGGTAGATGTATTATTGGCCAAAGGATAATCCCAATATCCTGAACCGACTAAAGGATGATCTGCTTATCCTATACCAATTTTTTTTTTTCATGTTATCGATTTATTTCAAATAAAAACATAGATGTACAAGGTTAGCTGATTGCCAAAGTTTTGCAACATTAGCGGCAATTAAATAATATAACATAAATGAAATAATAGATATAATATAAAATACAAAAGGTTTACATATATTCTTAATTCCAAATCACTGAATCAAGGAAATCCCATGGGCGGGGATGATGACAAAAAGGAAAGAGCAGAAAAATGAAGAAACGGAACCTGTTGTCACAGACGTGATATGATAGTGAAACTCGTGTATATATAATAACTAACAATATGAATTAATTCTTCATTTGTTGATGCATCTAAATCATCTTTTCCAAAAAGTAAAAATTGTAATTTATCATTCAAATTGTAGCTGTTAAACAGGTTTCCTAAATTGTAAGTATGAAGGCCTGCAATGAGGTTGATTCTTTCATCATGGAGCAGTGGGCAATTTAAAAGAAAATGCAAGGTAGTCAATGGAACACCACATTTACACAAAGGGTCACTAATGTCATTAAAATTATGTGCATAAAGGTGTGCTTTAAGTAAAAGGCCACACCTGAGTCTATTAAAAGGTATTTCAATATGTCTGGGTAAGGTCACATTCAATTTAGAAGTTGGAATTAAAGAGACTGGGCTCTTGTGTTCTCTTACTAATCTTTTAAACCTAGAAATGGGTTGACCCATTCTAGTTTCTGATGGCAAATTATTCCATAAAGTTATAGATTGGAAGATGGTAGTTTTTTTAAAAGAGAAGCTAAGGCGAGTTGGGAGAACATAATCTCTTTGATGTCTTAAGGGGCGGACCGGTATATGTTCATATTTCCGAAGTAAGTCACAAATAAATGGAGGATTAATGTTATACCTGCATTTAAAAGTAAACATGTTTAAGTGCTCAATTCTTCTGGTTGTTAACTGTTTCCAGTTTAAAGAGTTTAAAACTTTGATAGTATTGGAACCATGTATAGCCCCAGAAACCAGGCAGGCTGCTCTGTAGTGAAGTCTTTCAAGAGCTTGTAATTTCATGTTAGATGCCTTGTTGTAAATGACATCACAATAGTCAAAATGAGGCATAATGAAAGTATTATATAATATCTCTAAGTGCTGACTATTTAGAATTTTACTGCTATACCTTGCCACCTATACCAATCTTGGTCAAATTAATCAAATGGCCACAGTTCAGGAAATTTCCAACCAACCGTTGAATCAGTTTAGAATATTCATGTCCAAGTTTGTTTTCATGGCTGTGGCTGGAATTTCCTGTTTTTCAGATGTACATCCACATTTATGTTTTCGAATCGTTGATTATTAACAAGGATACGTATACTCCTGCCTTTCTTTAAATCATCAAACAGATGGCGATTGTCTGTTTTTCTCCATTGCCATTTGCAGTAATTATGCGAATGTTGCAAAAAAGAAACAATATGCGAACGGCGATTATGACGTAGCGGGCATATATATTTTCTGCCCTCCAAGAGCGGGACGTAAAGCTATATCTGCCCGCTGTTGATATTATAACTTTTTACAAACCTGCTTTATGTACCTGTAACACGTCAAAGTATGGGATGAACAGCAATAACTTATCAGATAGTGTACAAATATGCAAGTTCAGCATATTAAGAGGTATCAACGTTTTGTATGATGAAAATAGATGTGTTATCACCCAAAGTGACAAATAAATCAATAAATTACTTGATTTATACAGGTGTTTGATGTATAGAAAAATAATATAACATGAAACAGATATGTGAATCGCACCATGAGTTAATAATGAAGCATTGTTGAATAAGATACTACGTTGGTTATATGTTGAATAACGTAAAACATTCAACTATTGCAAGCATATTTATACAAAGAGATTAAGGTATGAAATGTCCTTATATACTACACTATGGCTAGTCGGAATATGTGGATGCGGTCAAGTACATGTGATGTATCGTAGGTGCTCACATACATTATAGGGGATGGGGTCATTGCAAAAAATAACAGCAAATCGAGGTTAGTGATTTCAGAGTTCCTGCTTAACATTGAGTCTTTTATTACATATATTCAATATATGTAGCATGAAAATATAGGAAAGTTTCAGCTATTAAATTCCTGTAATAGAGAAGATATTTGAACAACATTTCGTAAACGTAAACATATATGTATCAAACGGATGCCAATGTGTATCATTTGGATTCAGAACGGTAACAAATGGATGCTATCATAAATTATACTTTTATCATGATCATTTATTTACAAAAGAACAACTGACCAGATTTCCAGTGTATCCATTGCTTGAATAAACATTCCTCATTTAGTGAGGCAATTGATCACACCATTTCAAGACACCCATATGAAGAATTCAGAATTGATAGACTAGATCCATCAACCGGAAAATTCTATGACAGAAGAGAAAATCTATGGTTTCATCCCTCATACTGTGAACTTGAAATGTCCTAATGATGACGAGGAAAATATTGAAATCAGGTACAACAAGCAAGTGAACTCAGAGCCAAAGACTCATCAACCCACTGTTTTACCCAAAGATCAAGTTCCAGAGCCATTAACATCCCTCGACAGTGACGATGAGCAATCAACAGATGGACCATCCGTAAATCTCGATGATTTTGTAAGCTCAGCTGAATAAGCCTACAGATTCCTTAAAACAAATTATTCAAATTCAAGAATACTAATATCGATTTACAATTTTTTGAAATAGTGGTAAGTGGAATCTTTCCAATTACAAATATACCCTTGTTATTGTTTTTGGACACTGTGGTTTATTTCACCGCTCCATGTACCCAACAAGTGAGATACAGAAAGGAAACGGAATATTTTTGGTTCATGTGCTTTCTGTTGCATGGGAAATTTTTAAAGTAAGACTTCATTCATTTTAACTTTTAATTCTTATGTTAATAAAAAGTGATCTGGGTCAACACAGGCTTCGATGAAAAAAAAAATTGCAGTAGCACATCGGTGGAGAAGGCCATGGGTATAATATTTACTATTTTAAACATCCTGTGTTATAATACGACAATCTATTAAGAATTGCTTCATTACAAACTGGCAGGTATGCTAATCCTATTAATGATAATTTTGAATAATGTAGATCTAGAAACCACCACTTTACTTTCTTGTTACACTATGACATTTTAAAGTGAAATCCCTATTCGATCTAGCAAACATTTTGCTTTCCTGTCCACCATCTACTCTTAAAGATATATACTATGACATTTTAAAGTGAAATGACAATTAGATCTAGTAAACATATAATGTAGATTTTTCCTGATATCACACATGAGTTTATCACCAGGCATCAAATGTGCATCACATACTACCGTAAAAGTTCATTTCTGTTGTATTATTGCTTCTACTCAAGTTTATATGTAACCATAGTTATTTCATCCTATTGTATCTGGTGAAAAAGTTTAAGAAATGTATGTAAAATATTAAAAATACACAAATTCAAAATAATTCAATTATAACCTAGTCGGTCTGATAATTGAATCCAATAATAACGTCCACTGATCCACACGATACATCATAATTAAATTGCTTTTTTAAAATGGATATTTCGTACCATAACCCCCAAAATATTATAAAACGTGTTGGATATGTATCTTACTTCACACAGACATATTTGAATACGTGAAATGATTATATTACTTGAATTGTTTTATTCTCCGTTATAAAGTAAAGACGTGGCAAATTATACATACCTTCTCATAGCTGTGAGCGAGATGATAAGACGGGTCAAGTGAACTCATTTGAGTTATCTATCTAGTCCACCCGCTATGGCTCAGAGGCAGAGTCAAGGTTACCAATACCGCTTGGCCCCGGCTTCGATTCCCGGTTCAGACAAATTGTTTGTGCGTTATGTAATTCTGGGTGTTTGACTGAGTGGTTCACGACTCGTATAAAAGGCTGTGGTGTGTACCTGTATGTCTGTGTACCTGTGCACATAAAAGGACACAAGGCTCCTCCAAGGAGGGGTTTCTGGCTCTGTCTTCGAGTGTAAAAAAATACGTAAAATGCAGAGTATACCAATGAGGTATTGCTCGCCAAATATGGCGGTAACCAAGATATAATAATAATAAATTTGCCTTTAAAAAATCACAGAATGTGTGTTTATAGGCTAGTTCTGGTTTGGTAAATCAATGAAGTATGATATCCACGGATGGGTAAATATAGATCATTTAAACAAACGTGCAAAATTCTCCCATTGAAAAGTACAGATACATTACATGTATATAACTGCATCCACTATTTCAAAAACTCATTTCCTGCTCCTCCAAGCTTGACAAAAAAATTAAACATTATTTACAAAAATTGAAAATACCCAATATATCTAGATCTCATTAATACCTTCGGGATTGTGCTGAAAATATATACAGGGTGGGCCAAAAATGTTACTGATTTTAAAGTGTAATAACTCATTCTTTATTGGGATGATTGGTCTCAAACCTTCTGAGATGACTACGAATTGATTTAAGTTTTGTTCCACATAAGTGGTTTTATGTACATCTCTGCGTGTTTTTGGTGGCTACCAATCAAATCACTATGTCCGATTTAGTGTTCTGTCCAAACACCACGCTGGCCAAAAATTGCTTGGTCACGCACATCGAAGTTATCAACGACTCACTGAATCATGTCCAGTGGTATTTGGTCGATCTCATATGTGATGTTAGATTTAAGCTTACCAGTTGTGTTGGGATGGTTTTGCTATTCCCTATCTTTAGGCACCCCCAAAGAAAGTAATCACACGGATTGGGGTCTGGAGAGTATGGTGTCCATATGTTTGGGGTCCTACTCCTACGTCAGATAACTACTGGACGATGACATTTATCATTCTCACCCCTCTGTTCCGTCTTAAGCCAGGGAGGAAACACATGCGGATAATCTGATTCTGGTTCCTTTCGGAATTCACCGTTACTGGGATTCCATCTTCAATCAGAATAGTATAGCACACCATACTGTTACTTTTTCAACACTATAAAGCCTATCTCATGTCTGTGTAGGGTTGTCAGCAGCCCAAAACAGTTTTCTCGCATATAAGCCCTGGGCGTATAACTGAAAGAAGGGGTAATTTCGTCTGTTATTTTACCTCTTATTTTTCGCCCATGGGCGTATAAGTGTACTACTTTCGATTTTTGGCCCAGTGGGCGTAAAGGTGGGCATCAGCCATCTTCCTCAAAGACTACCGTACCTACTCGGTTGTAGTCCTACCGCATGTTTTGTAAGAATTATAAAGGAAATGTCACCTACAACCTTGCACTTAATGTTGAAACAAAGTAACAACAGAACGATCCACCACTGCCACTTACGGCACAGCGTTGAACTTAATGTTGAAACAAAGTAACGACAGAACGATCTGCCAGTGACAAAATACCCTTGAATTTATTCAAAAAATCAATAAATAGTCATTTTTATAGGCCCATGGGCGTATAAGCGTTCTACATTCGATTTTTGGCCCATGGGCCTAAATTTAGGGGGGCGTATATGCGAGAAAATCCGGTATGTTTTGCTTGTTGACATGTCCAGATAGGTGAAAGTGAGCTTATACGTCATTCACAAAAATGGACATTGGATTTGATTGGAAGCCACCAAAAATGCAGAGTCGTTCATTAAACCCACTTTTTGGAATTAAACCCACTAATATGGAACAAAACTTGCATCAATTCTTAGTCATCTCAGAAAGTTTGAGTTTAATCATGCCAATAATGAATGAGTCATTACACTTTAAAATCAGTAACATTTTTGGCCCACCCTGCATAGATGTTATGTCACTATATCGAGCTATTAAAAAGTTAAAAAGAAATGGTACATTTCATAAGGGTATCACGTTATCATTTGAATTGAAATTACTTTACTAGTATATCGACTGTTATTAGTTTGCCAATATGGTAGCTGGTCTAAATGGAACAACGTGACTGAGTGTTCTGTTACCTGTGGTGGTGGTATTATGACTAAAGAACGTACTCGGACTTATACTGGCACGTGTGACGGTGTTACTCATCAGACTGAAACTGAACGATGTAATAATTCATCATGTCCGCTTGGTAAGTCAACAACTTGCATTGCATTACATTCTCTCTAATTAAAATTCTAATCCTAAGTGGCCATAATTAGATGATCACATCCAAATCTAAATTTGATTCATACCATGAAAGTCCACGATATTGTGAAAATGTTATTGACACTGGGCACCGACGGGAATAGGACAAGACAAAACTCGACGTGAATTAGTCGTTAAATATTTTCAAATGTTGAAATCCACTTGAAGAAATGACTGACATGTGAATTCGTCTGCTGCCGACTTGTGGATTCGGTTCCAACATTTTGAGTTCCAAAAAATTTTCACGTTAGACCGAATGTAAAAAAATTACTCCGTTATAGTAGCCGGGACAGAACAAATTCCCACTGAAAAAACTTTAAACCGTTCCTAACATACAAAATATTTTTTTATCTCATAGTCAATCTTTATTATAATTACAGCTTTTTCAAAATGATGAGCATAGTCTGCTAAGATACTAATTTTGCGTCTTTTGTCTGAAAATGATAAAAAATTATCTTAGTTTTCTTCCTGGAATAAGTATTGTCTCTATTCCAATTAAAATCATGTTTTCCCTACAAAGGTGGCTCATAATGCTGATTATTTTTTCGTGAAGCTACTCAGTAAAATTACGATTTCTTTGCACCCTAATGTCCAATCAAGATCATATGAGTATCTATGTGTTCCTGACACGTTTGGGCATCCGGAAATGACAACGTCTACCCAATGTTTGGACGCGAAATTGACGTAATTCATGACTGAAATCGGGAAGACAAAAATATGCGATATTCTTTCAGAATTGGTTATAATAACTATTTACAAAGATGTTCCCGAGACACAAATCCATTTAGGTAAGGTTTGTTTTAAAATCGAAAACCCCAATAAGACAATACAAACCCAAATAAAACCCTGCAAAAGATTGCAAATTTCATGTAATGATTTACGTTCATGTAAACACACTGTGGCTAGTCGATCTATGTGGATGCAGTCAGGCACATGTAATGTTTCGTGAGTGCCCGCCTCTGTACTTTTCAATGGAAGAATTTTGCACTTCTGTTTAAATAATCTATATTTACTCATCCGTGTATATCATACGTCATTGATTTACAAAACCAAAGCTACGCTATAAACACACATTCTCTGATATTTTTACGGAGAATAGATAACTCAAACGAGTTCACTCGACCAGTTTTATCATCTCGCTCATAGCTGTGAGAAGGTATGTATAATTTGCCATAGGTTTACCTTGTAATGGGAAATACAAAATTCAAGTAATATAATTATTTCACATACACAAATATGTCTGTGTGGAGTAAAATACAAATACAATGCGTTCTATAATATTTTTGGGGTTATGTTATGAAATATCCGCTTTAAAAAAGCAATTTAATTATGATGTATCATGTGGATTAGTAGACGTTCTGATTGGATTCATTGAACAGACTGGCTAGGTTTCAATTGAATCATTTTGAATGTGTGTATTTTTAATATTTTAATCCACAGTGTCCAAAAACAATAATAATGCTATATTGGTAATTGGAAAGATTCCACTTACTACCACGATTTCAAAAAATTGTAAATAGATAATATTATTCTTGAATTGTGGTCATTTGTTTCAAGGAATCTGGAGGCTCGTTCAGCTGAGCTGACAAAATCAATGGATGGTCCATCTGTTGGCTGCTCATTGTCACTTTCAAGGAATGTAAATGGCTCTGAAACGTGTAGCCTTGCCCAAGTCGGTATTTATTTACTTATCTGATCTTGAATTATTACCACCTTGTACAATCCAATGCATCATCGCTGATATTATGCTATTACATGTATTAAGTTATTCAGCGGTTCTGAGATTCCCATAATACCTAGGCTACCTAAGGGTATCGCAAAAACCATATTGATTGACAATATGGACATGAACACAACGTGTGACTTCAGGCTGATTGACCAATCAAAACGTTATCAGGTTGACCTGCATAAAAAAGCAAACTACCCGTCTAGGACTTGAAATTCAATGATCTGATCGAGTGTTTCTTGAGAGTTACAATATATTATGTTATTAAATGTACATTGGAATGTAAGCAGTCATTAATACTCGTCTAAATGAAATCATGCAATTCAATGTTGATTCAAAATCAAAACTGAATTCGCGATGGAAATGCACGAAGACCTAGTCCGACAATGTAGGGCCGTCGTTGATTTGTCAAATTTTACCGACAAAAACATTGGGTCGGTAAAGCAGGTGGCTTTCTCTTGGGTACTAGGCGGTCATAATAGAAATCAAGATAAGTAAAAGAGACTGACTTGGGCAAGGCTATGAAACTTGATTTGTGGGTATTCCAGTGGGTCGATGGGTCTTTTGCTCTGAATTCACTTCATTGGCGTACCTAATTTCAACATTTTCATTGTCATCATTACATGTTATGGACCCGTTTTTCAAATTAACAGTATTAGCGATAAAAACATAGTTTTTGAGCCTATTGGATCGACCAGGCGTCCGTCCGTTGGTCCATCCGTCCGTTGGTCCGTCCATCTGTCAACATATCTTCCCTATAACAGAAATATGGTAGCTGAAACTTTCACACATTGTCATACTATGTATATTGAATATGTATGCAAGATTTCAAGTCACAATTATAAGTATAAACTCTGAGATCACTTACCTTGATTTGCTGTCATATTTTTGCAATGATCCCATTCCCTATAATGTACGCGAGCACCGACAATACATTACATATAAATGACTGCATCCACATAGATCGACTAGCCACAGTGAAACAAGTAAAGTATATATAATCCCCATATAAACACTGGCCTACGTGACATGTAGTAACATGTTCAAACTGAAATATAGAATATTTTCAACATAGCATTTGCTTCCGTGTTCTGTATGCCCCTCTATATACCTGCTTAATAAGGCAATGTATCTTCAAATAAAACCTTAGACAAGTAGATTACAGTCTCTGGAACACTTTTGCAAATAGTTTTCACAAGCAATTTTGTTTGTGAATTTCAAATTTTTTCCTCCCGATTTCATTCATGAATTACGTCAATTTCCCGTGCAAACTTTGGGTACACGCTGTTATTCCCGGACGCTCAAACGTGCCAGGAACACATAGATACTTGAATGATCTTTATTGGACATCAGGTTGCAGAGAAATCGTAATTTTACTGAGTGGCTCCACGAAAACAATAAAAAGGCTGTACGCCTCGTTAAGATCCTGTTGTAGTAAATGTTTAATTTCAGTATGTACTTCGCTACCAGAGACGTATATACAAGTGTTCCCCAGTGGATGCACACCTAAAACGTATGATGTGAAAAAATGTAGTGGAAAGGTATGTGTCCCAAGAAATCAAAAGAGTGACCCAGGATCACTCGAGGGTGAGGTAGAATATTGCTATGGACCCACTGAACAGTCCAGTATCACGGCAAGGTGTACTAATGGTAGAAATGTTGAAAATATAGATGCTATCGTAACAAAGTGCTGTGGTTGTATAATATGCAACAAAATAAATGACTCGACCACATCATCATTTTCGAAACAAGATCGATCGGTTACTTTCTATGGAAGAGTATTTGGCGTCGATGACAATAAGCCATTGATATTTGGAGAGGTATCTTTGGGAACGGCTTTCAAAACATTCACAGGCTTCACGGGTAACTTCCACTTTAAAGTACCACAGGGCCAGACGCGTATAGTTGTGAATGTCAGATCAAGTAGATGGTTTCCCCAAAATCTAGTAGCAACAACCAAAGTATTTCATATACCTGCAGACCATATTGGAGAATTTTATAAAGATATTCCTATGATGACAAAATCTAAACCTGTACTTGTTAACTCAATGGATACGAGTCGACTCACTGTAGCAACTGTAAACACCTCAGCAAGTGAACCTCTTGTTCAAATATTGATTCCATCAAATCAATTTGTAAATAGCAAAGGTGAGGAATTCACAGGCCAAGTCAATACTTTTTATAACTTTGTAGACCCAAGAGACCTTTCGGCAGTTGACTCAATAGTAGGAGACCTAACATATGAGGACGAAAATGGCAGGACAGGCCCCCTACAGACTTCTGGGATGTTTCGGTTGGGTTTTGAGAGCTTAAATGGTGATGAACTAAAATTGAGTGGCAGTATTGATGTTGCGATCAAGGCAGATTTTATTGACTTGACCAAAGATCCCCCTGTTCAACTTTACACGTTTAACGAGACAACTGGTCGATGGGGAAATCCAACTAAACTTAAACGAGCATCTAGTAGGCAAAAGAGACAAGCAAGATTCCCAAGCACCTTTCTAGTGGGGAATGCGATACTAAATGACAGCTACTGGGTTAACTTTGACAATGAGATATTGAACTATTGTTTTATAAACATGAGAATGTATGATTCTTCAGACAGGGAGATAGCATGGACGCCCTCTACTGACTTGACAGTCATGGGATTGGGCAACAGACCAGGAATTAGTGGATGGGAAAGCATCACAACTGGAGGAATGACTCGTGACAGCTATTCAGGTTTAAAGACGACAGAAAACTGCGTCTTGACAATCTGTGGAGCAAACAATTTCAATGCGTACTTGTTTGCCGCAAATGAAAATGGCCCATTCTCTCCATCAGTCGCACTAGGTGGACGTACCCCTGAATATGCACCTGTTAACAGCATACCTGGATTCACTGTTTCTGTTCCAGGAACTACCCACAATGGACCACTCCATACATCTGCCCCTCTAGGTGCCCCACTAGCTAACACGAACGGACCAGTATACCACACTGTTGAGTCTATTAGTAGACTTGACAACCCACTGGCATGTGATAGCAATGAACACATTAATTATTGCCGCTTCAATTGTCGTACACGTGTTTCTTCAAATCCAAAATGTGCCCTCTGTGAACAAACTGATGCTTCAGGCTATGTTGATGGTCAACGCAAGTGTGATTTTCACGGCTGGTGGTCGTTATTGCGATGCCAGGAAGCAACAAACAGGGATCCTCATTACAAATTTTATAAAAAAGAGGACACGTTGATAGAGTACTCTGAGTGTCTAACAATTCTACAAATCGAAGGGATTTCTCCTTCTTGTCAAGGGATGCCCTCAAAATCGCATTTGGCTTGGTTTCCAAAAGCTCCAGAAATATATAGAGCATATTATATAAAAATTAAAGTAATGGTCAAGGGTCGTCCATCAGATGAGTCGGTAGTCAGGGCCACATCTAGACCTAGCAGTAGCACAAATGAATTATATGGCATACGTGAAGATACGACCTCTAATGGGACAGTGTGTCTGGAGTATAAAAGCAGTGGTGATATATTTATATATAAAGCACCAAATTTTGTTAAGTCTACTGCGACTACCCTTGTTGAAATAGATGTCCAAGCCACGGCATGTGAAATCCGTGTAGTGGCTCCTGTTCTTCAAAGTACCTACCGCATACCGTCTGAAGAACATTTGCTTGAATTCAAACCTCCTTTGGGCTCGCAACATGAAGGGAATGATAGTGGGTTATACCATGCGGATAAAAAAAATATGAGGGATGCCAAGAATTTGGCGAAGTCAATGTGTGAGTGTAGTGATATCAAATTGGCAAGCCCTAAGGACTGTAGTCCTCCTCTTTCGACAGGCCATGCTATTGAAGTGACATGTTCAAAACCTTAATAGCCTTAGTGAAGTTAATGCTATACAAAATAGTCTATTGGAAAATTTAGGCACGGGTTTGGGGAAAATGCTTACGGATTTGGGTTAAAAAGCCATTATAGGCGTGTTTTTGTCATTAGAAAAATTTTGCAACTCACTTAATAGCATCCCAATTGAAAAAAGCCCATGGAGAATCATCTCCAATTATCACCTAACTTACTATTGATAATTAGTTGAAAGTTAGGTGTAAAAATTCACATGCAAATGAGCTAACTATCTTAACTTAATTAACGCTTAATTTGCAACTTAATTAACGATTAACTACCATCAATATGCAAATGAGCTGATTTACGTAAATTAATGAAAGTTAGTCGTAAGTTTGATGTTAGTTAATCTCTAATTATCACATAACTTACTATTGATAATTAGTTGAAAGTTAGGTTTAAGTCAGATTTGTGACTTCTCAAAAATGACTCGCTTCTTTTTTGCTTCCCTTCACCCTGAGATTTTTGCTTCATCTTGAACTATTTTGTGACGGAATATTCATCTTAATTAGGATCTTTCAGAACAGACAACATTGAACTTGAACTATCGAAATTTCACAGCAAGAGGAGGGAAAACCCCATGATTCAATTGATGACATACGATTTTCTCCTTCGCGCACCTCCTTTTGTCGAAAACGTACCCTCAATCTTGGTTTTCAAAGTTTTCAAATTGACCTAGTTTTAAACCAATCAACGATCGACTCGCTAAACCAATCAGCGACGATGTCATCTCAATACAGATTTACATTATATCATCTTTGAACCCTGGGGTTTCTCCCCCTCTTTTTCAAAGCTATTCTATTTTGCAAATTTTAAAGATTCATGAAAAGCATGTGAAAACATCATTATTGCCATCAACAACTAAAATCAAAACACAAACATTAGACTATAATGTTACATAATAAGGCCGTAACAGATATAATCAAAAATATGTTTTGAAATGTCTTTGATCTAACAATCATTATTTAGAAGAGCACATTTGGATGACTTGTGAAATATAGGTAACCCATGTTAGTACCTAAATTGCATTCTAGGATTAATATTATATGATCTGATTCAAATTCATAAAAATTAATTGTGAATAAGATTTAACATACATTGTATTCATGTTCTACATACCCTTATACACCTTTCCATAAAGTCGGCAAAAAATCGATAAATGGGCGGGGCAACCTGTCAATCATTATAGCAGTGACGTCACTCGCGGACTTTTTTGAATGATTTACTCATCTAATTTGGCACTTGACACAGTGATCATTGAGGTACGCACGGGGATAAATCTTGTTAACTATACAAAATGGTGAGTTACATTTTATACTTATCTTTTCTTTATAATATCAAGGGTCTCACTTGTATTGTTTTATTTCAAAACAATCCATTCAAATCACCTATCAGATGCAAATAAGTCCTGATTGATTGAAATTTTCCTCTCCGAGATTTCAGTCTTTCAAAACTGCCATCCAGTCTAAGCTTAGGCTAGACTACTGATGATAGAAGTGTTCATCAACAAACAACTATTCCTGTTGTATTTTCACTACCTTTCATAAGCAAACAGCATCAAATACTAGCCAATATCTTTGAATGAGAATATTGCACATCTTGTGTTGTATTTAGGTTAGAGGTTGTCGTTCACAGCGGGGTTCAAAGTTCAACTTTAGTTCACCGGCAAGCTGGCTAACAAGTCATGCTGACATACAAGATTTACTGTAATCCCTTTTACTTTTCTCAATGTTTATTTTAGCAATTTAAAATTTTTATCGATCTAATTTGAATTCATTTATTGTGGCAGTCAACATTAGGCCTATTAGGATATAAATCTGTCATATAAAACATCGTTCCACGGATGTTGAAAACAAACTGTTTTTTAGGATTCTATGAAAGAACAAACGTTATGTGACTGTGAAAAACTGACCACCTCAGATGTGGATGGGTCCACATTTGATGGGCCCATCAATAAACTGAAAAAGACAGAATGTATTAAGTGGCTGTTGGCTGTTGTGACGAAATATAAAACCTCACCACAAGGATACGTTAGCGTCGCTTCGTGTTAAAGTGTGCGCCCGACCTGGCTACGTATATAACAGAGTTTATACTGGCGGATTAGACTAGTTCATTTTTTATATGTGTGTGAAAGCTTTCTCTTATTTGCGTTTTTTTCGTTTAGTTCGGTCTTGTTATAATTGCCGAGGTCATATAACCGGGATAAAACAATGATTATCGTTGACTGCGCACACACAAAACATTTACGTCGAATGAACAGTGTTATTAAAAATAACAAGCTTTAGAATACAAAGCCCAGTAGTGTGATAATAAGCTGTACACTTACCACTGCTGCATGTACATATTAGGGCTCACAAAGAGTGGATAGGGAGGTTGTGTTTGTCACTTTTAAATTTTACATTTCAAAATTGCCATTTTACATGTCATAATTTCTTGGTTTCATTCGTTTAGCCGATCATAACATTGTAAAACAATAAATCGTTTGTTTACGTATAATCAATTTTGTTCAGTTTTGATTAGTTGTCAGAATGAAGTTACAGTTAGTTCATCTGAATCCATTTTTCAAAACAAAAATCATATTTTCTTCACTTCAAAATACTTCAGTGAGATGAATGCTCGGAATTGTCGTTTGCAATAACTTATTGTCGTATTCGTTCTTTTATCTACTCGATAGAAGCATTTAGTCGTACATTTGATGCCAGGTCACCTTCTCGCGTACCTCTTGGGGAGCCCCACATTTGTGTCTGTACTCATGGAAGTAAATTCTTCGGTGTAGCAGAGAGCCACAAACTTTCAACAGGTTCGAAATGGCCAATTTCTCTCATATATACTCATATTTTATTTATAATTATCACCTACAAAGTATTGCTAATAACTATATGTAATTTCAATAAGGAAACTTATCTGGCTACATGTAAATTCAATATCAACACTAGATGTTCGCTCAACACGTCCTGGCTTACCTTGTGATGACAAACCCTGGGTTTTCGCTATTTATAGTTTATCAACGCCTAGACGCATGCGCATTTTATAGTTTAACAGGCACTTTAAACTGCAACAGACCAAGGAAAAACAAACCATCCCAGACTGTAACTAGCCACTTTTGTTTCATCCCCTCTTGAATTTGGACATATGTTACATATTTGCCCATAGCGACAGTGTTACCATGGCTGTTGCACTTTGGAACTATGCAATGTGTGTGGATAATTTTTTTAGAGTCCCGACTCTTATTTTGAAATCTAGTGACATGGTACCTGTGGTAAGCTTGTGGGCCAAATCCAATCTCAGCCTGGAAAAAATAAATCATTTTTCATCGTTTATATTCATTGATAAAAATCCAACAAACATAAACACGATTTACAGTAGATGTTTTCGGTTTGGGCAAAGAAAAATAAAACTAGATGCCGGAGCCATAATAAACGGATCATCATATTCATTGATAAAATATGGTTCAATAAAAATAGCAAGATTTACAGTAGTAGGTTTATGAGTAAGAGCGAAGACCCCATAAACTCATAGGCTTTGGCTAGGATGAAGATGGCTTTGGGATGATCAATAAACATGCATAAGTGTCAAATTGTAGATAGTATTTGAGCTTATTATTAATCACAGCTTTTAATAATACTTGTAAAAACGTACGACAACTAGACAAAATGGAATTGTATTTCAAAATATTACAATAAACATTGCACAATCTCTGCAGGATATTCGGATCTGTCATAAGGGGTCTTATGAGAAAAGGCAAAATGGCTTAACATTTTTGAGAATTGCCGGTATACAGGTATATATGGACATATAAATGAGAACTCTGTTTGAATATTTAGTTGGAATATACCTATTAAATGACATTGGTACATGGGAGTTTGATTATTCATAGAATATAATGATAACTTACCATGATCAGCAGAATATAAGTGACACTGAAACCGGCACTGAAAAAGGTAAGTCTGTTATGTACTTTCAGATTTTGATTTTCCCGCTGTACTATGCAGGACAAGACTCCGCGAGTGACGTCACTGCTGTATTCAGCGGCCTTATGAATATTCATGACGTGACTTTATGGAAAGGTGTATAATAACGTTGACCAAATTTCATGGTAGTATACACACCATTCACGTTGTGGTGTAATTTTATGAGAAATATCTCTCACATGTTTTCTTTTTCCACCATCTTGAAATTAAATTTAGGGGGTTTGTATTTCATGGGCCTAATTTACGACTAATTATCATTATAATCATCCTATATGTTAACTATCAACCAATAATCTACTTCAGAACAAAAACGTTTGAATTTACCTCTTACTATCACCCTCAAACATTTCATATCTTAATTATCAACTAAAAATCATAAATCAGCATTATTACTAATTATCATTATAATCATCCTATATGTTAACTATCAACCAATAATCTACTTCAGAACAAAAACGTTTTAATTTACCACTTACTATCACCCTCAAACATTTCATATCTTAATTATCAACTAAAAATCATAAATCAGCATTATTGTACTGATAGTTAGGCCATAATTATCATTGATTTAATTAACGCTTAACTTTAATTCCAATTGCCAGCAGAATTGTTGATAATTAGTTGTAAATTAGTTGGTAATAAGTTGGTAATTAGTTTTATTTTTCAATTGGGATGTTTATTATTCCTGTATAACGTAAAACTTTTGAAGCGTTTGATTACGTCATCATTCATTGCGCAGCTCTATGCGGCCATAAGTGCGATATTCTTACGTATAGACGACGGTTTATAAGAATAGTCACACTCATGGACTTATAGAGCTGCGCAATAAATGATGACGTAATCAAACGGGAATTATAAACATGCTATAAGTGAGTTGCGGAATCTATCTAATTTCAAATGTATTCAAGTTACAGTATATGGACGATAGGTGTTTCAATGTTAGTCACCTTGTTTCAATGGTAACTCTGCGCCTTTTCTGCTCTTGTCCATAGTTTCCCGTTATTTTTTATTCATAATTTACAGAATAGAATGTTGAGTCAAAAGTCAAAAAGAAGTCAAAAAGTTTGGGACCTCAATTATTTTCTTGGCCCACCCTGGGGGGAGGGGCGGGCCCCATGGGCCTCTGGATCCGTCAGTGGTATGCGTCAAAGAC